GGTTAATGGTAGTTAAACAAGGTTAGATTTTAGCAATATAGCATATTTTAAGTATTTTTTATTTTTTTCAAGTGATGGTTGGTAACGATGGCTTGTATGATGTCTACATGTAGATTCAAATGTAGATACTGTAGCAGGAGGTATCGAGCTTAAAGCTCAGAACTATATATCAGGGCTGAAAAATAGTGTCCAGTTAGTTCAACAGATTACCAGAAAGATTTTGACAAGAACAACTGTATTCTTTTAATATTGTAGGATCAAACAACAGGGGATTTCTTTACACCATACTCAGCTATGTAAAACTACTGGACATGATTTTGCAAGTTAGCTCAGTCAAACTGCAGTTTGTGAAAAATAGTCACTCTATAAAAAAACCCTTCCTCTTCCTTTGCTCTGTCATATGACTGACCAAAAGATGAAGTGACAAAAGTCGAGAGAAACTTCAGCTTTATCTATGAAGACATTTTATATGACTTAAAGATAGTTATTGACATTTACTACTTTAATTTTTCTAGGATTTGTTTAAAATTATTATAACATTTTAAAACAACTCAATGGCAAAACCAATAAAGAAACTACTTTTTAGCTATCTCTTTTAGTTAAACAAAAACAGACACATTTAATTAGTTATTTGACCCTTTTCTCTAAAAAAATAAACTGCTTTAGATTTAAAATCATTTTCAAATTAGATAATATTTTGTTGTCCATTCAATGTGAAGCACCAGATTCGACTTTGTTTACAGGAAACTGTATGTAAATTTTCAATTTTAAAATTATATTCAAGTCATCATCCTAATGACACACATTGCACATTATCCGCATCCTTACTCTCAAGTTAAAAAAAAGAGATCATTTCTAATGAAGGTCAACCTAGTTGTAGTTTTTTAGATATATTAGAAAGTTACTGAGAGCTTTATTTACTGAGACAGCATGTGACTGAATATAATATTTGTCATTCAGTCAAGGAGGAGAAAAGAAAAACAAATTATGTTTATGCATTGTGTAGAGATTGTTGTACCAGTAATAAATCAGAGTTTAAAATATTTGCCCATTCTTGTGTATATATTTTATCTCTTTTTATTCTTATTTTTTACCTTTATTATATTGTGTAGTTGATATGTGTGTGTGTGTGTGTGTGTATATATATATATATATATATATATATATATATATATATATATATATAAACTGTGACTGGAGCGTGTAACAAAAGTAATTTCCCCCTGGGATTATTAAATTATTTCTGATTCTGATTAGATGCTCAGTATTTTAAGAAAGAACAATTTTCTAGGAGAGCCTTTCTTTCAAACCAAAAATTTGTCTTTTTTTAACTGCTCTTTTATGATCAGTAACATTAAGATGGTGACACTTGGCTTCGAAGTGTGTCATTTCTTTGATCCCTACACATTCTGAACTGTTTAGAACATTATAATTGATCAGGGATGTGGACTTACTAAGAGTAATGAATGTTATGGAATTGTAAATGGTCTTTTTCTAAAGAATATTGGAGTTAAATTGTTTGCAAATGGTCAGATAACCTTCTCAGATTAATCAGTTGTTTTTTTCCGATCATAGTTAAAGTTTTTTTTTCATTCCTTCATTGCTTCAATATGAATTGAGAGTGGTTTGCAGCTACCATCAGTTGAAAGCAAATATGTGCTGATCTTAAGTTTGGACCACTGAAAAAATGTTTCTAGCATTTACCGGGACCGCTTGGATGAGTGACGTAGAATGACAAAAATTTATCAGCAGTCTAGTAGCAGCTCCCATAAGGCCAAGCTGTTAAACACTAATACTTAGTCGTACCAATTTTTGTTTTTCATACTACGTTTGTTTTTGTTTTTTTTATCCCTACTCAGTTTTTCTCCCTGATTATTATTGTTTAATCAGTTTTTATCTACACAAATGATATCTAGCATTTAGCAAAGAAGCAGAAGTTTCTGAAAGGAATATTTCTAAAGTACAAGAAAGGCAGATGGAGAGGAGGATACTGCCACAGAGAATGGAAAAACAATGGTCATACCTCGGGAAACAATGTGCATTGTCATACAGGTGTGAATGCTCTCTAGATGAAGAGGAACAAATGATTTGCAGTAGTGCATCTAGCAAATTAGGGGACAGATTTTAAACACAGCCATTTTTGATACAAAGCAGACACGCTCCAAGTGGTAAATAGACAATAAACTAATGTTTTGGTAATTCAATGCATCATTGGGTAGACTAACACTATGATCACTGTGCATTTAGTTCAGGGCTGAACACCTCACTCCTTGGATCCCATTGCCTCTCCCTCCGCTCAGTCCGACACAGTCGCTTACTTTCTGCCTACTCCCTCTTCTCATATTGCCGGGCTTATCAAACAATGAGGATGATGAAGCCCAACCTAGAGGGTGTGAAAATCTAAGCAAAAACTCTTCCCAGCTCAGTAAGAGAGTCCTCGTAATCAGAATCCAAAACTGGAGAGTTTTCAACAGATTTCAGAGATTCAGAAGTCACTTTTGGTTCCTACTAGCATGGTTAAAATCAATTACTCACCCATAAAGTCCTCTGACATTTAACAAATAAAAAATAATAGCATCTTGTTTGTTTGGGGTTGTTTGGAGCTACCGGTGACACAGCAATATTTAACTGACTGTTAAAGACTTTAACAGTCAGCCCCACTTTCTTAACCGTTAATATACTGCACACCTGAAGACTGCAGACCTGTGTAATGCCAAATGTCCTTATACAAGCAACAAAATAAGTTAATCAACTCTATTTAATCAACAATAAATGGCTGCAGCTTACCTATAGGAAGCAATGTCAGTCTAAAATCCTAAGGAATCAGCAAGGGTGCACTTACTGTTTCCAGTGATTGTATTTTTATTCCACTTACCCAAAAACTCCCTCTAGTTGGTCAGCTTAGTCAGGGCCTTTAATCAGAAGGCACAATCACACTTCTATTCCCAAATTATTTGAGTACAGTCTAATCTACCAGGTACCTCCTTGGATCACTCTCAAAAAAAAATTGTGGGCTTAAAGCTTTTAGTGATTGAGAGAAGTTCAGAGATTCACCTGGGTATTAAGTTTCTGACCTTGTGTTTATGGGATGATTTCTCTTGCCTCTGGGGCAGCAATAAAAGAGAAACACACCTAAACATAAAGCTGCTGCTGGAGTGTGAAAGAGCGTCCAGTTTCTGCTGGTGAATCAGTTTCTGACAGGCAGATAACTCCGATACGAATAAACAGGCACACGTACAGTCCCACACAGATATATTCCTGCAGTCTTAATCTTGCCTCTAAATCAGAAGAGCCTTCCTGTAATCCACATGATACAACAACCTTTTCTGCAAGCTTCCTTGCTCTTCATCTTAACATATTTTATGTATTCCAAGCAGTGCCGAGTAAAGGAACATGGAAAATGAAAAGGAGGTACAGGTGCATCAAGGGAAAAAGAGATTAATAATAGCATATTCAAAGGAGGAGTCTAATACTACTTGGAAATGAGCAAATGTTTTTCATCTACTTAAAATCAGTCAATAGTCCAGAGAGAAACAGAGCAAAAGAGAGAATCATACATTATAAGCTGAAATAGCAGGAATGAGGTCAAGAAAAACAAGTCAAGTAAATTTCAACAGTAAGCCATTTTGACTTTTGTATGTGTAGATTAGGCAACAAAGATAGGATTGTGGTGTTAAAGTACAATAAGAAGGTAAACGCTAAATATTTCTGGTCAAAATACACAAAGCGTTAAGAGACATGAGAGGTACAGATCTCTTACATTGGAAAGGATTAATCCATTTCTATAAAATCATCAAGGGAAGATAATTTTTTTTTAGAGTATATTTCTGATATAATCAAAAGCCCAAAAGTGTTTCAGAGTCACTTTTATAGCTCTAAATCTTTTTATGACCATTTATGACCATGACCAAGGGAGTTACGGCCTAGTGGTTAGGGCATTGCGCTTGGAATCCAGAACTAATGAGTTCAAGCCCCACTACCGCATACTGCCACTCTGGGTCCCTGAGCAAGACCCTTAACCGCATATAAATGGCGTCCTTCATGCCCCTCTCATACCACCTATTTTCTTTGTCCAAAATGTGAACATTCTGGTCCTCAAAAGAATGTCAGTTGTCCACAAGGTGTAGATGTATTGCAGAGTCTTGTACAGAAGAGGTCGCTCATCTGTGTTGGGCCATACGTCTGTCGAGAGGTTGTTTGGTTTCTCCGGTATTGGAGAAACCAAACAACCTCTCCACAGACACAGAGAAAATAGGTGGTTTGAGAGGGGTGTGAAGGAAGCCATCTATGCTAAGAAAGAAAAACCCTAAACAGAGGGAGTGGACTCAGATTTCAGCTTTCAAAAACCTACAATGCAGCAATTGAGTTTATCCCTTCCTGCTATCATCACAACCCCAAATCCTTTACTGGGGAGCAGAAGACCTCGCCTATTCAACTAGGCCAACAATTCTCCTTTAACGACCTTTCAGAGACTTAGAATGTAATGGGGCATTGCAGGCTAACAAAAGAAGCCACAAGACCCCCATTTCAAAGGGGTGGACCCGTTCATCCTTTTTAATTTGCATGTTTTCTAAACAAAAACTAGGCTTTGATGGTCTACTGTATAAAAACTCGAATTTAACGCTATTCCTGACATTTTGAGGTGAGAAAACTTCCTGGATGGGAAGCGAACTTGTCGAACTTGGAAACAAAATGCAGTGTATTGTTAAACCTATTTGGCATGAATATCTAGATATTGGAAAAATTAACTAATCCATCCTTCATACGCCCACTATTTTTTTCCGTTTTTAAGCATTTCACATTTGTTTTGCTAGTTTTGAAAGACTATATAGACTTGCAAATGCTTAGTCGTAATCAAGATTATCTTCTGAATTTTTTTTATATGATGCCTTCCAATGCAGGATGTATATATCATTGTGTTTGACAGTATGTGTGCAGACAAGGAGCCTGTGAAGAATTGTAGCTAAGAAGTGGAATCGAGAAACAAGAGCCAAACTTACCATTGAATTTGACTGCACGGATGTGGCTGAGCAGTTCTTTCCCATCAATGCTATTAGCCATGCGCGGACAGAGGCCTGGATACCCATAGCAGAGCTCCCGGTGCATGCGATGCAGAGCATGTGCCATTGCATAAACAGCGTCCATTACAAACTGAACCTTCCCTTCTTGTTCATAGCTGGAGTCCCTGCCCACCTTCTCCAAACCTGTAAAGAATAAAAAAGGGAGACTCTGGATCAAACTTAAATGTTTATCTGTACTTCATTTTAATGACTGTAATAACAGTCATTGAACATCCCTGCTGAGTTTGCCTAAGAAAAATAAAATAAAACAGATGAAAACAAAAGGATGGGTTAGCTGAACAAGTTTAGGAGATATGAACATAGAGAAAAAAGATGAAAATGTTTGAGACAGGGAAGCTTGACCTGGAGAGAGGCAGCATGCCACTCAGACTGATGATGACAAATAACTCCTCTCAGTCCATTCTCACCCTGGTAGCAAAGTTACAGGAGAAAGAACAACATGTTCCTTCTTAACATCATCTGAACTGCTGATAATGGCATTTTGGTGTACAAGGTAATGGTCAGAAGATGTCTGGAGAAAACTAAACCACTTTATACCCTGGCTCGGGTTGCAAAGCTGCTAGCAAAAAAAATACATATTTTTTTCAGATGATGACACTGCCTATGCCTATCTCCCTGTAGCAGCCTAATTAATTACTGAAGAGTAATCTTTGGGTTTATTTGCCTCTAATGAACATTTGCATATTTGCATTTGGCCTTTATGTGTGCACACTTGCGTTTCACATATGCCGAGTCACACTCTCGTACACACACAAACAAATTTGAAAAAACCTTCTAGTTGTGATTTATTGAGAGGGATTTATGTGCTTATTAGCATAAGTGAAAGAGAAAAGAGCTTAGTTAAAATATAACCTATGTGATGTGTTGATACAAAAATCAGCCACAAAGGGGAACAATCACTTATTAGATAGAAAGTTTCTGTAAACAACCCTTTACATTATACGCATACACTTTGCAAGGATGTCCCAAAACATACCCGTATTTCCCGTTTTTCTCTGTCAGACGTTATTGACAAAATTTCTGTTAATCAACTGTGATTATTTACACAGTAAAGTTTCCGATAAGGTTTTAGTCAGGTTTTTGTGTCCAATAAAGCACAGACACAGCTCTCATAGGTCAGTGACTAATGTCAACCTTAAAACAACACTAACATAACCACTGGAAGGCGCTTTACCTGTAAGTTCTAAGTGACAGTTTAATTTGTATCATTGTAGTTTAAAGGTATAATGGAGGATTTTCTTTTTCCGGGTGGACCATCAAAATAAGTGGCCCCCCTAATTGTCAATCACTTTCAGGATATGTTTACGTTAGGCCTTCCTATGTACGGGAGTGGCGGCCTAGTGGTTAGGTCAAAGAGCTTGGAATCCTGAGGTTCTGAGTTCAAGCCCCACTCCCACAGACTGCCAATCTGGCTCTAGGAGCTAGAACCTTAACCCCAATGCCCCCCAAGGGGATGGGTTAAACGCAGAGGTAAGTAACTCCAATGTCAGATCAATAAAGTTAAAATATTATTGTCCCCATTTTCAATTACCGTTGGTGAGTCTAACATAGTGGACAAATTGCAGATCTTCTTTTTGAAATTAAGTTTGTATGAGCGATGCAAACAGCAACTTTTAAACAGAGCGTGCACAAGGAGAAATGGGCGGAGAAATGGGAGTGGAGAGGATGGGTCTTTTTAAAAATTCACTAAAATCCTCTTCTGTATCTTTAAGACCAATTTTAGCTCAACAACCTTTCTTGAGATGTATATTTTTTTTCTTGTCACATCATCCAATTTGTTCAGCATATCAGTCCCTCATACAGGCCCTCGGACAACACGCCGACAACCCTTTACAGTTTGTATAGTGTTCTCTGGGTTTCATGCTTTCCTGTTTCTCCCCTTAAAAGGTGATTTTTTTTCTCTGAATAATTCAGACCACAGGATATATCTAACCTATCACATCTAACATAACTCTTCGCCCAGAGAGCATTTGCAAACTATAATGTGACTTTTTATGTTTGTTTTTGTATAATGGATTTTTTCTCTGTGTGTGGCCTTTCAGAAAATGCCAGCACAGGACTTATTTCACAGTGATGTTAGGCTCTGACCAAATTTAGCCAGTATATTCAACACATTTTGATTAATTTGTTTGTGGATATGCATTTTACACCAAAACAGGGATACCTATGGGATACATGCCATTGGTTTTTTAGCAGATAGATGTTGTACCTTCAGACATATCCTGATAGTATGTAAGGCACGATGCTAACTTGTTGTATCAGAGGATTCCAAATATGTCAAATAATGTCATCAAAGTGTTTGTACATATCTTGTTTGAACTATATAGTTCTACTTGTTAATATTATTAAACAGTTTGGGATACATTGCTGTAATTATAAGAATGATGCTCAGGGTATTTATGGGCCAGATGACTACAATTAGTTCATAAGACCCCATGCATGACTTGGAGACTTAAAAGCCTGGAGGACTTAATTTTCTGCTTCTAACCTCAGAAAATAGAAGTTTTGTATCCTTACAGATACATTTATGAAGAATAACCATCTCCAACAAACACTCCCAGTAAAAATGTAGGATTTTAGCCTCCGACGCTCATGTTTGAAAACCTCGTGTTTTAAATTTTTCAGCAACTGGACTGTTCTGCATTGATTATATTATATATGTTCTTGGTATCACAATCTGTCTCGTAAAATGCCTCGAGATTACATTTATTTTGAATTGCTGGCATATCGATGGGACTCAATCTAATTACACCATTTTTGAAAATTATGAAATTAAATTTCTAATATTATGCTTTTATATATTGTTATATTTTTACAGCTATTTCTCAGATTCCCTTTATATATTCAAATTTTTCTTATTATATAATTTACTGTGTTTATCTTACTCAGATGTAACCCTTTCATACAAGTTATGGCCATGTTTGGGGACACAGACTGCATCCAAACCCATCAAGGCTGAGCTGCATTAACAGGACCAGAGGCACCTTGGAATCAATATGAGCACCTATAAGGAATTAATGAGGTCCCGAAGATGAAATCCAATCCTTTTTTATAGATGGTGGCCGTCTGGTGTTTGGTATTCATGTCCATATTTGTGTTTGTTTGTGGCACTACTGATGTGCAGAGGACTGAAAAGAGTTAGTACTAACAGCCCCTGGGAGGCATTACTGCATTTGTCAAGAATGAAATGCATTGTGATGTGTGTGTAGGGGCATGCAGGACAAACTACATCTCTGACAGAGTTGTTATCTTTTTCTGCTTTGCATTTAATTATTCACAGAAGTGCAAAGACAACCACTTTTTCCTCACCATCACTACATTTCTCATGCATGTTTACACTCTGGCTTAAAAAGCTGTGCCGTCTAACCTAACTCTTTCAACCTGTCAAGCCCCTTTCAGACCCACAGGATTTTACCATACTTTCTTAAACAGTTTTTTCAGGCAGCATATATGATTAGTTATAGTTTTCAAGTTAAACCAGGAATAAACTTAATAACTGTGCAACCCCTGCTGAAATGCTAGCCTTTGTTCTGTAAAAAAGGGGGAGATAGCAATGATTAAAATATTATTTTCATGTTCATTGTGACCAATTCTGTAAGGCCATCTTGAGTTCACAAGATACAGTGAAGGTTTTTAGCCCTGGTCCTGTGAACCCACTATCCCGCATGTCTTAGATGGCTCTCTGGTCCACCACACCTGAAATAAATTCTTTACTCAAGAGCCATTACAGGCTGCAGAAGCTGGTTAATCAACCATTTATTTAAGTCAAATGTTTGGAGGCAGTGAAACACCTAAAACATGGTGGACAGTAGGCCCTGAGGACCAGGGTTTAACACAATAGTATTGAGTCAGAGAAACCTGAAATCAAGCTTAGCTTTTGGGCAATAGGATGCAATCTTTTAGTATAACACAAGTTTGAAGACAAATAAACAATCAAATTATTATATTTCACCAAGGTATCAGTCAGGAGAATGCTGAAATAAATCTGAAACATTTTCAAAATGTTTCATAAGACCAGAAAGACATTCATTGAGAACTGCAATATAACAACAATATTTAATGAAAAGCCAGACAGTGATTATTCAGGGCTGCTATAAATTGATTCAGAAATATGCTTTAGAGGTTGCAGGATTCTTTGTAAACTGTTTGTTTATCTTTATGTGACAAAAAGTGTTACAATGGGATTAAGAAGCCTTCCTACATAAACACTATGGTGTCAATAGTAGTGTCACACCTGCCTTGTCTTGCATATGGATCACACCAAAAATCCATATGGTTCAATATTATGTTCTCTCAGCCTTGCAGCTATAACAGTTTCATCTCTACTGGGCAGTTTTTTCCACAAGGCTTATGGGATTTTTTATGGAATGTGTTCATTGGACTTTTTATGTATTTGTTTTGTCTAAACTCTTTCCACAAAGGTGGGAACATGTAGTTGCCCAAGATCTGTTGTTATGCTGGTGCATTTAGAGTTTCTTTTCCTGGAAATGAAGGTCCAAGCACTGCTCCTGAAAAGCCAATCCAGAAAAAGGCCCCATTCTCCAAAAAAACTTCACACAGGGCTCAATATAGTCAGATCATTTTTCGACTAACCCGTCGGTGTGCCAGATAAAGAAGTGTTATCTTTCACTCGAGTGAATGTGCCTTGATTGTTCTAATTTCCATTAGCAATGTGCATTATACAACTCCATCGGATGCTTCCCACTGCATTTGATGATATATGGCTTGGAGGCAGCTACTCAGCCATGGAAAACCCCTTCTTTCTGTAGCATCTGACTGCAGATACTCAGGTAACCTAACAAGATGTTGATACCATGTTAATATTATTGTTTTTGCCCTCCATTGGGACTTCTACAATGATGTTGTTGGCAATATTAATGTGTTTTAATAATACCACTAATAGTGGATGGCAGAATATTTAGGAAATATCCTGACTGGACCTTTTGCACAGGTGGCATGTTGTCTAAGTGAGGCAAGGAAAGTATAAGCATTAGATAAACAATAAAATAGAAGAATAAGAAAAGCAAATAGAGATGTTGATAAATATTAAAACAAATATAACAGTTGGACGACACTTTCAACTAACAATACCTCAGTTAACTGTTTAACAATAAAAGGGAATT